CTACCAAATTCAAGCAGCCACGTGTTATATACAGGTTTAACAGCATCTCACTGGACTGCAAGACCCTCCCCATGGGGAGAGAAGGCAGACAACTTGCAGAGAGCATTTTTCTGTGTTACCAGGGAGGTTTTCTGCACATCAAGCCCAGTTCCCAAGGTACCAGAGAGCAGGTCTGCAGCCTCCTTTCCCTCTCCTCAGGCACTGGGGGCGTACTGCACAGCCAGCCGGTCAAAGTCGTTCTCCTTCAAACCAGAAATAGGAACAGAATGAATAAACCTTGAACTTTACTGGAGGAGCTGAAGAGAACATCACTAGCACAGCTCACTAAGGCAACAGGAATTCTAAGCAGCAAGATCACCTGTTTCAGTTCTCAATTGTTTTCAGTTTGTTCCATTTTCCCTGTGCCATCACCTTAATCCCTCTTTCTCCCTCCCCAGAAGGATGTTTCCTCTGTTTAAGCACAAAAATCTCATGTAACAAGATTAAGAACCTGTATGTCAGAGATTCTTTCAAGATATGACCATTTGGCTCCTTTGTTTAACATCTGGCTCGTGGCTCCCAACATCTCCCACAAGGGCTAGGAAATTCACTGTGATAAGTGATGTGCCAGAGAAAGAGCAGTTACCCTCCCCCTGCAGTCGGGTTTGCTGGTAAAGAATCTGCTCACCCCATCAGAGACTGGTATGAGGCATGATAAATTCCTTTTTATATTAGAGAGGAACTTGTACCTTGGCCTGATACTCCTTTATGAATGGATGATTCTTATGTGCATCTTTCAGCTGTGACAAATAGCGATTTGTAACCTGATGGGATGAGAGAAGTTTCAGTATTAACAGGAGGAGAAGCCAAGAGTTTCAAACATCACATTTCAATGGGGTTATTTACAGTGAGTCCAGACCCGATTTTCTCAGTGCCCCAAACATTAGCAGCCCCAGTTAAAACCAGTAAGAACTGGGCATACCCTGTGCTTAAAAATTAGACCTTAAATACTGGGTTCAAGAGAATAGTCAGTGAGGACTGAACTCGGAATTCAAGCCATTCCTTTTCCACCCAGGTCTTCCTCTCAAGTCCACCCCTCTGTCTGCAGCATCTGTATTTCCACAAACACTTTATGGAAGATGGGAACTCCCCACACCCCAGAACTGTTCTGCTTTGTTAATGCTGATCCTGATGAGAACTGCAAGCCCAAGCAAAGTTACAGGCCCTCAGAGCACAGACCCTGCCCGCAGCAGCACCAGCAGGTCGATTGGATCTGCTTGGTGAGTACAGTAAAACAGGCCTCACCTCTGGGGGTTTGCCCAAGTGCTGCGACAGGACCACGAAGTTGATCAGGGTCTCAGGATGGCCACTGTCCTGCAAACAAGAGCAACCATCTGATCTGATTTACCTCCAAAGCAACAAATGGTACCAACCAGCAGAGCTCTGCAAGAACCAGTTGTGCCCAACCTACAGCTCACTTCACTGGAAAAGGCAGAGTAGAAGCAAAGGTTGGTATCGAGAGCAACCACCGTAGCCATATCTATCAATGGGTTGCGATGTTCCTGAAGTTTAACAGTGAAGGTCATGCTGCTTTACTCTGTGTCTCCCAGAGAGCAAATGTGCCTGGCAAAACCAGAAGTACCTTGTCCAGTGCCTCCTGAAGCACTCCTTCTGCATCGTCCCACTTGCCCTGGGCCATGTAGCAAGCTGCTTGGCCGTTAAGCAGCAGGAGGGTGGAGGAGCATTTGTCTGCCATCTCTTGGAAGATGTAATAAGCATCTTGTAACTTCTCACCACCCTGTGAAGGGAGGAAACAAACACCCCCAGTTTCATTCCATGTTGCTAAGAAGCCTGCACGTTCTAGCCATGGTTGAAGGACCAGGCACAAAGTTCGTCCCTAGGGTTATAAAGCACAGGCATGGAACGTGTCAGAACCAATGCTGGCAGCAGCTGGCATTCAGGTGGTACCACAACACATCACTGCAGAACACAGATGAAAGAAATGCAAAAATATGGAATATTAAGAACTATTTAAAGGATCAAAAGAGCCAAGCCTCCCTTCAAACAGAAAAAGCCAACCACTTCAGAAGAACCTCTTCAGGTGTTAGATGGAATCATGGGATTAGATTATGAATGAGATTTTTATAATTAAATGCAGATGTGGATACCTGGCTTTCCAAAAAAGCTTTAGACAGGTCCTACAGGCAGAGGTGTCCACCAGTCACAGGTGGGAGCACTTGAGGAAACTAAGACCTTAAGGAAAATCAGCTGTGCATTATGGCAAGGCAGGGGTTCAGCATAACAGATTTCCTAACAAAGCCAAGTGAACACTAGAAAGAAATCTGAACAGTACAGCAGGTTGTGTCCTGCTTAACCTTGGACTTCACTGAACTTGAGGAGACTACTTTCCAATCACCCCATGATCTGGGCTGTGTTTGGCTTTGTCTGATTCACAAACACCCTTAAAGACAGTCTGCTCTAAGCAAAGAATAACACTTATTTCTTGGAATTTAACTGCAAGATCTGGATGCTGGTACCGCTGCACTTGCCATTTTATATTATAATGCTTTGTGAATTATTTAAGTGTGGTTTAGCCCTTCCCAGTGTGAGCTGAAGGCCAAGGAGCGCAGCTGAGAGACTGGCAATCAACCCAGGCACTTTGTGAAGCCAGCTGCCAGTATTTTCTGTGTACTTGAAGGAAGGGGAAAATCAGCCAACCAGCCCAGCAAACCCCCTGCATCCTCTTCTGAAAGTATGATGTGCAAAGAGCAAGCTGTGGAGTGATGTTTCTCCGTGTTGAAGGCCAAGGATCCCCATTTCAGACACTCACAATGGCCAGGTTCACCCAGGCAGTTGCCAGCTGAGTCAGAGTTGCATCCTCATCTTGCTCCTGCATCTTTTTAAGTTCCTTGCTGCAGAAGGAAAAGTGGGAGTCACACAAGGCAAAAAAAAGCTGTGCTTTCTTCTCTCAGCTCTTCCATATAATGCCACAAACACCTCTTAATATTTCACTGAAGCAATCCATGAAAGACTTCCCTGTTTTACTTCCTTATGGGAAGCCAGAAACCCAGGACTTGAGATTCAAACCACATTCTGCTGAAGGGAGGATTAAACCTGGGGGTTCGTCTCTTCCTTCAGCTGTATCCAGCTCTATTACCTCTTTTGCAGCACATCCACATCTACACACAAGTTGTTCTCCCCATGGCAGGGGTTAAAATGCTGCACCCTGGGGGAGGCTGGGTGCTGAAAATTCTCTTATCACAGCCCACCCCAGCACCATTAAGAAGCAACCAGACACAAACTTACCGAGCCAGATCAAGCCTGTCAAGCTTCAGCAGAATCTGTATCATCATGGCCATGCTGCAAGGAATAAGAGCAAAGTGATTTTCACAACTGCAGGCTTTACCTCTCCCAGTGCCCTGGGACAAACCTCCCTGCTGTGGGGCACCAGCTCTGGGAGCAGGGCAGCTGGCTCCATGCTCCCTCACTGCACTGACACAATGCTCAGCTCAGCAATTCTGAACACCCTTAAATCAATAAAGCAGGTTCTTAAGTTTCACAAGGGAGCAATAGACTTGATATGGGAGGACAAGCACCAAAGCACTTCCTACTCCAAAAGGCAAACCTCAAAGGAGCTTCTCAATGGTTTCAAGGCTTTTTAGAGAAACCAGACCTCAGCCATTCATGGGGCACCTCTCCCAAGCCACGAGAGAGGCTCCGGGATGCTGGCTGAGTTCCACCTACCACTCCAGGCTCTCCCCTTGGTGCAGAGTGCGCAGAGCTGCATCCGGGTTCTTGTCATGGAAATAGATGGAAGCAGCCATCAGCAAGAAGGTGGTATTGGCCACATCAACGCTTTTGGCCATTTTCTTGTCCAAATCAGCAACAATTGCATCCCTGTGAAGAGCAAGGGTGAGAATTTGTGCGTCTCATCACTAAGCACCCTGACAACTCTCAGCTTGAGACTGACTGGAAAACCTCCTAAAAACCCCAATAAAGACCACACTTCTACAAGAAACTTTCCACATGGAAGCAGATTCCTCGTAGGATAGCGCTCAAGGTCCAACTTCTTATCAGTCTTACCTTTGGCTCTCATTTGAAAGATATTCTGCAAACATTCTCACTGCCTGGAGCTCAGGGCTAGCGTTGGCTTTAATTTCATCCAGGACGACACCGTATTTCCTCTGTGAAAGGCAACAAAGGCAAAGCTGTGACTCTGAGAACACAGGGCAGACCCGTTAACCTTAAACCCCAGTGAGAACAACCAGGAACAGCCGGTTTCTGCTTTACAGCTCACATCAGGCTCTACAAACGCAGCCAAACCCAATAGCCCTGACCACCCAAAGAGGCCCCACGAGGTCACGCTGAGCCTGCACGCACCGCGCTGCAGTCACGGCTGTACCGGTATCAGGGAACGCGTTATTCCCAGTGCTAAAGGAAGAACTGCTCCCAGAGTGGCCAAGCCTGAGCTCGGGTTCACAGCTCCAGGCAGGTTACCCCGAGGGAAACGCCGCACTCCCAGCCTCACCTGCGCGATGTAGGCTCGGAACAAGAACACGTCCCTCTCCACTTCCTTCTCCGCGCTGGACGGCTGAAGGGGCGACAGCAAACAAGAAACGCTCTCAGGGGGCTGCACAGCCACAACCCGACCCCACCGCAGACACCCCCAGGCACGCACACACGACCGGGGCCCTCGAGGAGCCTCAGGTCGGCGCCTTCAGCCGCACCTTGACGCGCTGCGCCTCGTTGATGGCGGCCTGGTAGGCCCCGATGTAGAAGCTGTTCTTCACGTCGAAGAGCTCGTCCCCATCCCCGCCCGGCCCGGCGGAGCCCGCGGCCGCCATTGCCCCCCCTCAGACACGTCTCCGGAAGCAGCTGCGCCGCGGAGGCTGCCGGGAGCCGCGGTCTCCATGGCAATCCCCGTGCCAGCCAATAGACACGCCAAGAGGTGGCAACGTCACCAGAGCGCCGGAGGTGGCTCCTGAGGCAGATGGGATGAGCAGCCAATGAGCGGCGGGCGTGCGCGCTGACGTAGTGACGGAGCGCCGGTGGCGGCGCTGTCATGGCGGAGTTCCGTGCGCTGGGGCTGGCGCCGTGGCTGGCGGAGCAGGCCCGGCAGGTGGGGCTGGCGCGGCCCACGCCCGTGCAGGCCGCCTGCATCCCGCCCGCGCTGCAGGGTGAGCCCGGACCCCCCCCGCTCCGCGCCCCCCGCCGCCAGCGCCGCCCCTTCACCGCCTCCTCCCTTCCCTCCCCGCAGGCCGCGACTGCCTGGGCTGCGCCAAGACCGGCAGCGGGAAGACGGCGGCCTTCGTGCTGCCCGTGCTGCAGGCGCTCTCCGAGGACCCCTACGGCATCTTCTGCCTGGTGCTGACCCCCACCAGGTACGTGCTCCAGGGACCGGGACCCGGGACCCGGCCCCGGCCAGGCCCCGCCTCACCGCGCTCCTCCCCGGCAGGGAGCTGGCGTACCAGATCGCCGAGCAGTTCCGCGTCCTGGGGAAGCCCCTCGGCCTGAAGGACTGCGTCGTGGTGGGCGGCCTGGGTGAGTGAGTGCTGCTGCGGGGGGTGGAGGGAGCAGAGTCCTCTGGAGCTTCTCCTTCCACGTGTGCTAGGGAGCCGTGATCCAGCACCAGGGCAGCGGAGGCTTGGGGGGGGATGAGGAGAGTGAAGTTTTCCAGCTTTACAGAGGGAATCACAGAATGGTTTGGGTTGGGAAGGACCTGAAGATCATCCAGTTCCAACCCCCCTGCTGTGGGCAGGGACACCTCACACTAAACCATGGCACCCGAGGCTCTGTCCAATCTGGCCTTGAACACTGCCAGGGATGGAGCATTCACAACTTCCCTGGGCAACCCATTCCAGTGCCTCACCGCCCTTACAGTAAAGAATTTCCTCCTCATATCCAATCTAAACTTCCCCTGTTTCAGTTTGACCCCATTACCCCTTGTCCTATCACTACAGTCCCTATTGATGAGTCCTTCCCCAGCATCCCTATAGGCCCCCTTCAGATACTGGAAGCTGCTCTGAGGTCTCCACGCAGCTTCTCTTCTCCAGGCTGAACAGCCCCAGCTTTCTCAGCCTGTCTTCATACAGGAGGTGCTCCAGCCCCTGCTCATCCTCATGGCCTCCTCTGGATTTGTTCCAACAGTTCCATGTCCTTTTTATGTTGAGGACACCAGAACTGCACACAATACTCCAAGTAGGAGCGCGTGTTCCATGGTCCCCTCTGTGGGTCTCCTTGCAGACATGGTGGCACAAGCACTGGAGCTCTCCCGCAAGCCCCACGTTGTCATCGCGACGCCTGGCAGGCTGGCAGATCACCTCCGCAGCTCCAACACCTTCAGCCTTAAAAAGCTCAAGTTCTTGGTAAGGTTCTTTTCCAGCTGGGTTTTTGTGCTTTTCAGCCTCTTCCCTTCTCAGCTGTACGTGTGCATGAGCTCAGGGGGTTTGGCTCTGCCTAGATTATGGATGAAGCTGACCGGCTGCTGGAGCAGGGCTGTGCCGACTTCACTGCAGACCTGGAGGTGATTCTGGAGGCTGTTCCAGCACGCAGACAGACCTTGCTGTTCAGTGCCACGCTGACCGACACGCTGAAGGAGCTGAAGAGCCTGGCTGCCAACAGACCCTTCTTCTGGGAGGCCGTGTCCGAGTCAGTGCTCACCCTCGCTACACAGAGCCCTGTTTCCTCTCTGGTTTCTTGTCTCCTCACTGTCCCTCATGGTCTGTGTTCACTTGCCCAACTGTTGCTGCTGGTGCTTGCCCTCCAGGGTGCGGACAGTGGAGGAGCTGGACCAGCGGTACTTGCTGGTACCCGAGGCGGTGAAGGATGCGTATCTTGTCCACTTAGTCCAGACCTTCCAGGACGAGCACGAGGACTGGTCCATCATTATCTTTACTAAAACCTGCAAGTGAGTGGCCTTGTTCTTTGTGAGCACTCATAACGCAGACACTTCTACTTGAGATTCCAAGCCTGTGCTGCGTCGGGTGTTAGGCTGGGGTGGTGTTTGCTTCCACAGTCTGCTTGGTAGAGAAACACCTTTTCCTTTGAGCAGTTTGGGGCTGAAGGGCCACCCAAAACAAGTAGCACGCCAGGAGGTCAAGCTGCTTTACCTCTCTGCATCTTTTCCTCCTGCTGGTGGATACTGGGAAAGGGATGGGGCAAATAGCCCTGTCTGCATCCCAGTGCTGCTGCTCCCTTCCTTCGGGTGGTTCAGGTGACTGGGATGGAGCCCTGGAGCTGGTGACATTCCCCTGAGTGCAAGGGGAAACCATTCCCACTGCCTGGGGCGAGCGGGTGTGGAGTGGGGATCCTGTGCCCTGCCTCTGTCGCAGCGCTGCAGCATCGAACTGTGGTGGTTACTTGTGTGAGGGCTTCTGAAGGAGCCCAGCTCTGTCCTGCTCCAGCAGCTCCACGTTTCCCTGCGGCATTCTGATTCATTTATTGGGTTTTCCTTCAAGGGACTGCCAGGTCCTGAACATGATGCTCAGGAAATACAGCTTCCCTTCTGTAGCTCTGCATTCCATGATGAAACAGGTGGGTGATGGACAGACCTGGGAGAGGGATGTTCAAGTCACAGTGTGCCCCATACAGGCTTTTCTCTTGACAGCGGCAGCGATTTGCAGCTTTAGCAAAGTTCAAGTCCAGCATCTTCAAGATTCTCATTGCCACTGACGTTGCTGCCAGGTAAGGGAAAACCACAGTCTCTGTTGCCAGAGATCTTAAACCTGCTTTTGAAGCGCCAGAACTGCTGTGGAGATTTGGCTAGGGTTAGCAAGTGGATAGCTTTATAATCCCCCACTTGGGTAGGACGGGGTTGTAGAACATCTCTGAGCTGTGTTTTGGTGCAGTGTAGCTCTGATCCTGGCTTGTTTTGCTGCAGTGGGGGGTTGTGTTCTAGCAGGAGGATGATTTCTGTGATCTCTGGGTCAAGGAGGGAACGGTGGGCTAGGAGGTGATGCTGTGTTTTGTGATTGTTGGAGAGCTGCAGGAGGCGTTCGTCCTAGAACCAGCCAGTGAAGATGACATCCGTGAGATTATGGGGCTTGGGGAGAAAGCAGAAGACAGGGATTCAAACTGCTTGTATTAAATCAGCGTCTCCCCACTTCTGTTCTCCTCCCCTGTGCTGCAGAGGTTTGGACATTCCTGCAGTCCAGGTTGTCATCAACCACAACACTCCCGGCCTGCCCAAGATCTACATTCACCGTGTTGGCCGGACAGCGCGTGCGGGTGAGCAGGGAAAGCTGAGTGCCCTTTGCTGCCTGAAAGTGGGATCCCAGTGCTGTGGGCTGAGCCTGGAGCAGGGACAGGGAGGCAGCAGTGCAGTAGCAGTGCAGTCCGGTTGGGCAGTGCTAGAGCTGCTGAGCCCTGGCTCAGCATCCTGCCTTAAGGCTGCAGTGCTGCCTGGTGGCTGCTCTGCACTGGTAGTGAGCTGAATTTGCAGAGCAAGCAGAGAGCCTTTGAGTGCCCCATGAGCAGACTGCAGCAGGGCAGACTCATGGGGGTGATGGAATTTGGCATGGGTTAGGCTTCACCTCCCTCTGCTCAGCAACACTCACATCTCATGTTTTCACCATGCAGGCCGGAAAGGCATGGCCATCACACTGGTGACGCAGTACGACATCCATCTCGTGCATGCTATTGAGGAAGAAATCAGTAAGTAGAGCACCATTAACGCTGCTAAACTGTGGGATCCTGTGTGTTCCTTTGTGCTCGTGGTGCTTGCAGTGCTGATTTCATCTGTGAAGAACGATCCAGAGCATCAGTGTGAAAATGGTTTCTCTTCCCTGTGTGGCTGAGGCTTGGAAAAGAGCAGGATCATCAGCAAAGCATCAGCTTTGATTCTGCTTGAGTGCATCAGGCATGAATGGGTTTGTCTTCCTGCTATTCCTAGTGGAGGAAAGCCAGTGGTTGGGCTGTGTGTAACCTTGTTATTAAAGCAGCCAGCTTCTTCCTTACTCCCTTGCTACTGCGAGTGCTGATGTGGACAAAAAGGACCCATGCTTTGCATGGCTTCAGGATTCACAGTTTTTGAGGAAGGAGACCTAATAAATGCAGCACTTTGTGCTATGGGGAATTGTAGGCAGAGGGGAGGATTTGATCTTTGTTGTAAGGCTGAAGAAGTCAGTGGTCACAGTGTGTGTCAACAGTCCCACCTCTAATCAGTGCAACTGTATGAGGTTTTGACCAGTTGAGAATCTCCTCCTGGATTTTGTACCCAACCCTGGTCTGTGAATGTCCCACCCCGATTCAGAGCTGAAGCTGCAGGAGTTCTCTGTGGAGGAGAAGTTCGTGCTCGACATCCTCACCCAAGTGAACGTCACCAGGAGGGAATGTGAAATAGTAAGTGTGCAAATGTGAAGCCCCTGTGTTCAGGGGACTGGAGAGCTTGGGCAACCGGGAGGTTCATCACAGTCTAACGGGTGGCTCTGGCTGTGCAGCTTTGCTCTTGAGCACATACCTAAGAGTTGCTGGTCCTTTTTCTAGTGGAAGCACCTGGGGGGTTGTTTTAGTGATTTTCCCTAAGTTTGGTCTGTTATTGCACATTCTTGTAGCATTTTTGTGCTGCTGAGTGTTGAGGCTGGTGCTCCAGGGGCTGCCAGATGTGTGCACCCCAGCAAGGTGCTGCTCACCCTGTACAGCTCCATGGCAGGTTTGGTGCTTGGTTGCTGATTGCCGTCTTGTATTTGTGCTTTGACAGGACCTGGAGGGAATGGATTTTGACGAGAAGAAAGAGATAAATAAGCGGAAACAAATGATCCTTGAGGGGAAGGTGAGAGTTGCTGCTGTATAAACTGCTGTGATCAGTAGCTGGGATGCTGCCATCGATGGCAGTTCCTCCCTCACTGCTGTGCTTTCTCTGCCTCACTCCCTTCAGGGTGGTGAAGCTTTATCTTAAAAGGTGACTGATACTAAGAAGTGCAGTGGGGTCGTGTCTGACTTGTGCAGCCTGCTTGGTCATGGGCTTCTAGGAGAGGCAAAGGGGCTGCCACTGATGCTGGGCATGTCACTGTGTCCTGGCATTTGCCATTGCAGGATCCAGATCTGGAGGCCAAAAGGAAGGCAGAGCTAGCCAAGATCAAGAAGAAGAACAAGCAGTGCCGTGAGAAGGTGCAGCAGGTCCTGCAGAAGAGGAAGCAGCTGCAGCTGAAGAGGAAACTGCAGAAGAAGATGGAGCGGCGGAACAGGCGCGTGAAGGAAGAGGAAGAACAGCCCTCGGCCTGACTTGCTTGGCTCGGACTGCCCTGATGTTGCTGCTGCTTTGGGAGTGCTGGGACCTAATGTGTTCTAATGTGGACACTTCTGACCTGACACTGTTGGGAAGGTGGGAGAGGGGAGAAGAGAAGCCTCCATAAACCAGCTTGTGGGCACAAGGCCTCCCTGGCAGGCTGGCTCTGTCTCCTACAGGAGTGTCTGTCAAGAGCACGTTTCCTTCCTCCAGCAGAGGTGAGGCCAGATCTGAGCTCTTGGTGACACAAAGGGAAATAAAGCTCCTGTCTCTTCCCCCTCCATCCAGTCCCTGCTCTTTCCCTTCCCAGGGCTGGTGCTTGCCGCTCTCAGGGTTTGTATCAACACATTCTGCCCTGAGCCAGTATCTAAAAATACTGCAACAAAATGAGCTCAGCCCCGCCTGTGCCACAGCCTGGAGTTTTCCAAGAGGGAAATTCCTGGAACCCAGGGAGAGGTTGGACTGTGGGGCTGGGCCTGGGGTCTTCTTGGGCTAATTCTGCTTTATACATCGCAGTGACCAGGTTGCTTCAAGCCCCTGTGTCCAACCTGCCCTTGAACACTGCCAGGGATGGGGCAGCCACAGCTTCTCTGGGCACCCTGTGCCAGCGCCTCAGCACCCTCACAGGGAAGAGCTTCTGCCTAAGAGCTCATCTCAGTCTCCCCTCGGGCAGGTTCAAGCCATTCCCCTTGGCCTGTCCCTACATCCCTTGTCCAAAGCCCCTCTCCAGGTTTCCTGCAGCCCCTTCAGGCACTGGAGCTGCTCTCAGGTCTCCCCTTCAGGAGCCTTCTCCAGGCTGCCCCAGCCCAGCTCTCTCAGCCTGGCTCCCTCCCACAGAGCATCTTTGAGGCCCTTTTTCTGCTCTGCTCTGTAGGTTTCCCTGTGTCATTTGCCTCGTGTTTGGAACAGGAGCTTGGTTGGGCTGGAGGGGGCAGAGCTCTCCTAAGAAACGGTTGTGACTCCCTAAGGAGACAGAACTTGCAATCTCCGAGCAGCTCAGACCAACCCTGTTCTGATGTCACGTTTGATCCTTGGTGCCTTCTTTAACATTTAAGAGCTTCCTCTGACTTGAGGCTGAGGATCTGCTATTTCTGGCTCTGGCTTACAGAAATAGTTCCTATGCTCAGTGCCCAAATAAATACGAGAGGCTGGGTGACTTTCCCGACCACAGAGGGGAGCTGTGGGACCTCAGGGGAGGGCAGCAGCCCTGGTGTGGGCAGACAGCATGGAGATAACGTGGGGTTTATGCCAAGAGATGAGCTGGGCAAGGGTTGAGCTTCCTGAGGCTGTTGCATCCTTCAGTCCCTTCCTGGAGCGTGCAGTCCCTCTGCCTGCCTGCAGCGTGAGCACAGTGGGGCCTTGCAGAGGAAAGCTGGTGCTTCCCTGGGAAGCTCCTGCAGCCTGGCACCGCGGGGTCTCCTGGTGCCTTCAGGCCATGCACGGAGTGATGCTGGGGCCCATCTACGTGACGGGCAGCAGGCAGGATGGAGGTGCTGCTGCCCGGGTTCCTTTGTCCTGCTGGGTGCCCTCCGGGAAGGAGAAGCTCTCGCTTGGAGCACTGCTCCCCTGCTGCAGCAGCAAACAGCTTTGTGACGCTCTGTGAATGCTAAAGGCTGCCACAGCCCCGTGCACGCTGAAGTGAGGGGCGAGCCTGGAGCTGCAGGTTAACGAAGACCCTCCCTGGGCCAGGCTGCTCCTGCCTTCCTGCACAGGGCATCCGCTGGTGCCCTCCCTCTTGCAGACAGCCCTGAACCCGCTGGCTGGAGCCTTGGCTTCATCCTGTGGGGGTTTCTCTGTCTCCTTCCACGTGTGACACAGGGGCTTTGATCAAGTCTTGAAGCTTTTAACACCTCCTGTCTGGGAGCAGCCTTCCCTGGGAGGGAGGGACGGGTGCTGGAACGAGCTTTGTGTAGTGCTGATGAGACAATTCTGCCTTCAGAGAAGCAGTTCTGGGAGTGGCTGAGTGGGAAAAGAGGCTGCTGCAGGAGCTGGGATGTGGCAAAATGCCTCAAATTCCCAGATTAGGAATTTCCATCTTTCCCAGGGGGAAAGGCCACTGGGGACGTTTCTGTAGGTGCCGTCAGCGCTGCCCCCAGGGAGGATAGTGCGTTGTGGGGTCTCCAGGCCCTGTCACAGCCCTGTGGGATGTGGGGATGGAAGGATTCCCTTCCCGTCACAGCCGGGCTTGGGGCTGTGAGCTCCCCCTCTCGCCTGCGGCTCTGCCGGTGGCCGGAGCAGGCAGCGGATCCCGGGCTCTCCTGGCAGCTGCTTTGCTGCACCTTCACCTTCCCAAGGCTCTTCCCTGCCGGTGGAACTCCTTGGCTGTGCTCACCCTCACGCAGGGCTTGGCTGCAGCTGCCCGGACTTGTGTCTTCACTCCGGGAATGACTTCCCTGACACTTAACTCCCGGATCCTCCCTGCCAGCAACAGGAGCCCAGGAGCGGGACAGAGGGGAGGAATACCTGGATTCCTTCTGTGTGCTACGGAAACCTCCCTGCAGCAGCTCTGCCTCCTGGGAACCCCTCCTGCTTTGGGTTCCTGTCAGCCCTGGGAGGGGGAGCAGTTGTGGAGGAGCAGCAGCCTCTGCTCTGCCCCGGCAAAGGGAAGCTGTGAGCGCAGCACCAGCCCCTTGCAGTGGCTCATCCCCATCCCTTCGTCCCTGCGCAGCCCTTCCCGTTATCATCCTTGTGTTCCCAAGGCCAAACATCCAGGCTGTGCTGCTCCCACACTGAGACCACTGGGGAGGTGGCACTCGTGCTGCAAATCTCTAGGCTCAGGCACTGTTTTCATCTACTCTAACAAGGTCTGGACATCAATATCCCTGTATGCCTGGAAGGCTGCAGTGAAATGTGAGCTGTGAGCTGCCTGCTGGGATCTGAAACCCTGTTAGCCCAGCACCAGCTGGAACAGAAGGCAGAGACTACGCACAGCATCCTGCCTTGTTGTGCTAGCAGGTCCTGGGGAAAACAAGCCAGCAGCAGGGCGAGGAGCTGCCCCGCTCTCTCTGGAGCACAGGCTGCGGGACGGGCTACATGGAAATGGGTCACAATTCACCTCTGGGGCAGCCTACACAAGCCCCAGTGAACCGCAAAGGTGCTGCGTGCTCTGGAGTAGCTGCTGGGGCAGACCACGGACCCCCAGCCTGCACAGCATGGGGATGGAGGTGATGCCATGGGGACAGAGGTGGTGGCAGCCTCCGGCCCTTTCCACCTGGCAACTTCCCACCACTGCAGCTGACAGCAGCACCCGAGGAAACGGAGTTTGGTGCCTTGGGTTCTCCCCTCCCAGGCTGATGCTCAACAGAGCCCAGGGAGCCGGGGGAAGCAAATGGTGTGAGCTGATGGGTGTGCAAGGGTTGCCCCTGTGGATCACCCACTGTGGGAGCTGCCTCATCCCTTGTACCTGCACCGTCGCTTCCCCTCGACACAGGGGTCTCATTCCCAGGATTATTCCTGCTGCTGCTTGCTTGGCAGGGCCGAGGGAGCTGCCGGGGGAGGCAGGACCCGGTGCAGAGGTGATGAGGGCCGGAGCTCGTGTTCTTCTCCCCCGGAGCAGGAGCTGCCTTCACAAACCACGCTGCTAACGATGATCCTCCGGGACAGGGAGCTGTGAACCTCGCTGCCAGGGGGCATTCCCCACAGCACAGGGCTGATGCCTTCGGTGGTGCTCAGTGCGTGCATGGCCGTGTCCCGCTCCCAGCCTGCCCTGCCGGGTGGAACCAGCCCATTCCTGCACCAAAAGCAACCCCTCCCCTGCCAGCGGACGCTGCAGCCGGGCACGGGGGCTCACAAGGGGTTTAGCTCCCCTCCTTCTCACTGATGGTGCTGTTTAATTACTAATCCCCCCACGCTCCATCCTTGGGAGGCTGAAAACCAAGTGCTCGGTTGCTTTCCCTCTTGGCAAGAGGGTGCCCTCACAAAGGCACAGAGCAGAGGCATTCTGTTAAGTAAGTGATGTGAAGCACCCAGCACACGTTACCAGGGGCTCTGCAGTGGCTGAAACCACTCAGCACTTAGGGCATTAACCAGCCTGGCCTGTGCTAACCTCTTCCTGGCTCTCGTAGGTGGGAGTAATTGGACTGTAAGAGTCCTCTGGGGAGGGTAATTATGGGCTTTATGGAGGAGGAGGAGGAAGCAGAGCGTGGCGGGGTGAGGAGGCTGCAGTGAGCTGTGGCAGAGGTGGTGGTGGGGGTCTGCACCCCCATCCGGGCTCTATTGGCATCTGTCAGATGGGGTTCGCATCGGACACGTCCCTTTTCTGAGGCTCTGTTATGGGCACGTCCTGCAATGGCAGAGCTTCGTTTCCTCTTGCTGAGCTGGTCAGAAGGACTTTGTCTTGGGTCTGGGGCCAGAGCAGAGCATCTCACCGTGCTGCTGGTCCTTGGAACGTGGCACAGAGAGGGGAAGGTGGAAGGATTTCTTGCTTTGTTCACCCTGCTCTCACATGAGAGCCGTTTCCCCATGTTCTCTTTATTAATGTTCTGTCTGGGCTTCTATGAATAATTAAGATCTTAATTTGCCACAAGAATTAGGTCTCTCAAGGCACCTGCAATCAGTGTTTCTCCTCCAGCAGGGAAGCTGCTGTTTGGTTGCTGACAATCACTGTTACTGTGAGACTGAAGCAAACTGCAGCCTTGCCACTCAATGCTGGCTTCTGCGACACAGGATTTTCTCCGTTTGAAGCAAGAGAAGCACAAACAGGGAAGGAGGGGGGCTGGAAAGCTCACGGTGGGGATGAGTTGAGTGCTGTGTGCTAGAACACAACTGAAACCCTTTTGAAAGGCTCACTGGAGTGGGGCGGATGGAATTAGTGCTTTGCTGCTGCACGGTCTCATCGCTAACTGCAGGCTTAGGGCAGTTGTGGAAACGGCTGGTGATGAATTGGTTTTCATTAGTTTAGATGAGGGGAAGGCTGCAATGGGAAGTGCCTCCCAGAGCCATCCATCACCCTGCCCGGCCATGCCTCGGGAAGAGACTTTGCACAAATGCTCAGCACAGGACAGATCTCATCAAAAAGCCGTTTTCCAGCTTATTCTGGCAAGGGAAAGAATTGCACCAAGGCCCTATGGGGAAGAGAGTGAAGGAGAATTGCCTCTGTTCCTGGCTCCTGACAATGGAAGAGCAAAGGAGCACAGCCAGGACCATGAGGAGCTGATGCCAATGCAGGTGAAGCGCCACTGGCCACAGGGTACAGAGAGCGCAGGGAACAGCCCTGAGCACCCAGGCAGGGCCAGGCCAGCTCCAGTGGCAAAGTCCCCTGGGCTGGCAGCACCTCGGTGTGCACTGAATGGGCAGCTCAGCACCGTCAAAGCACGGGCTTTGTGTCTGCAGTGCTGCAACCTGCACTTCAGGTGCCTGCCTGTAACACTTCCCCCCGCAGACAGAACCCCCCTTCCAGGGGGTTACCCCTTGGGATAGCAAGAGGAGGCTCTAGAGCAGGATCCTGCCCACCCCCTGTCTCAGCACTCAGACACCCTCCCCCTGGCCTGAGCTCAGCACCACTCTCAATGCTGGTTTCACCACCATGAGACAGACCTGGGGATGGGGGGGGGTAGGACCGCAGGACCGGTCCCACAGGCCCCCTGTGCACACACCCCCCTGGGTTTCTCGTGCTTTCCCGTGGCCTCCTTGGTTGGTCCGGCTTTCCATGGCATCTGTTAACCGGAGCCTGACACGAGCAGGTTGAACACTGCGAGCCCCGGAGCGCTTCCCGCAGGATGGCGGTGGGAGATGAGCTCCAGCTTCCTGCCCTGCGGGCCTCGTTGCGTGCCCTGCGGACCTCCCTGCGCTGCCTTCGCTGGAGGGGGAGCTCTCCGGCGATGCTTGGAGGACAAGAAGGGGTGTAAATGGCGTAAGAGCAGCTTGTGCCTGCTTCTCCCCCCCTCCCCGGGAGTCCTGCTGGGATGTGCAGCGGCTTGACTCGGGTTCTGCCTCCCACTGCTCGGGAATGGTCTGCGATGGCCTCGGGAGAGCTGACTCAGCCAGGCGTGGTGAGCCCCGGCGCTGAGCCAGGCTGCTATGGAATGGTCACTGCCAGCACTGGGATCCATACCCAGCGCCAGCCTGGGGGGCACAGCCACAGGAGAGGAGCGTGAGAGGGCAGGAAGCAGGGAACAAGGAATTTCGGCTCAGCTCCCTTTCTCCCACGCTCCCAAATCCCACCCTCTCCTCCTTCCATAGCCCAGGGACCAAGGAAACCAAACACACCTTTCTTGGAGCTGATCTCTATTTCAAAAGAGGGCTGCTCCTGTAGGAACAGAATAGGAACACTGGCATGGGGAGGTAAACAAGTCCCTGGAGTCTTTTGCCACCCAGTTACTTCCTTCCCTTCCTTCTTAAATACCCTGAAACAAGCATCCCTACTGCAGCTCCGGCCCGTACCGTTGCGAACACTTCATGCAAACAAAAATCATCCCAATTAAGGGGAAACCACCAAAGCAAGCCCAATCCCAGACCAGAAAAGCCTTTCCCTGGCAGCGCAGGCCTGGAAACCTCGCTGTTTCCTCATCAGCCTGGGAGAGGGAAGGGAACCCAACGCACCACGGCCACGGATTGCCAAGGCGCCAGACCCAGACCCTGCCCTGACTTGCTGTCAGTGCGGGGAGCTCTGGGCTCCTCTCCTGGTCACCAGGTGAGGGCAGGGAGCGGCAGGGCCTGAGCAGCGCTGAGGTTCAGGGGGGTGCTGGGGAGAGGCAGCGCCTGCCCATCCCGGAGCTCCTGCAGGCATCCCCAGGATTCCTCTGCCTGTGCCTGACTTACAGCAACAAAGAGGGCAAAAACCCTAGCACCAGGACCCAAACCCATGGGCGCTCCTGGCAGGTTACTGCCTGCTTCGACACGGACACTGCTCCATCATTCAGCACAGGGCTAACATGCTCCTGGGGAGCTGGGGGGGGTACAGCAGGTGCCGTGGGGGGCACAACTCTTTCTTGCTCAATTCCTATGACCAGACAACATCTGTGGTAACCCAAACACTTCCCACGGGCCCCTCAGGGCACTGGTCCCAGCACGCTCCAAACACCTCCTGCTCTCCTTCCATGTGGCCAAGTGTGGCAAGCTGGCACCCGGGCCCGTCACAGGGAGCACTGGGGCTGACATGGGGCAGGGACCCGGACCCTTCACAGGGAGCACTGGGGCTGACACGGGGCAGGGACCCGGACCCTTCACAGGGAGCACTGGGGCTGACACGGGGCAGGGACCCGGACCCTTCACAGGGAGCACTGGGGCTGACACGGGGCAGGGACCCGGACCCGTCACAGGGAGCACTGGGGCTGACACGGGGCAGGGACCCAGGCCCATCACAGGGAGCACTGGGGCCGACATGGGGCAGGGACCCAGGCCCGTCACAGGGAGCACTGGGGCTGACATGGGGCAGGGACCCGGACCCGTCACAGGGAGCACTGGGGCTGACCCTGGGGACTGTTCCCCAATGAAAAAGAAGGGAAAAAAAAGCAGCCCAGAGCAACTGTGACTTGCTCCATTTAATTTCAATTGAGTGCAGCCCTCAGAGGCCGGGATCGCTGCCAACGGGGCAGTCTGTTGGCCATCCCCTCAGGCATGTCCCATTTCTCAGATGCCCCTTTCCCAACCAAGCCTCTGCTCTTCTCAGCTGAAAGTTTTATCAAGTCGTTACATCTCACTGTGGTGAACTAATAAGAGCTTTAAACCCTGCAGTTCTTTCTCCTCTGGAGGATGTGACTGAACAGTGGAAAAGGACACATGGTCAGGCAAGGACCCTTCTCTGCAGTGGGGCCACTGCTGCCTCTGGAAGCGTTACTGGATCCTGTTGAAGAGACATGATGCAGTTAGGGCTGGCAAGAGGAAAAGGAGCAGCTCTTGCTCTTGGTGTGCTGGCAGTGCTGCTCCCTGCCCGGGGTGGGGGGGGGACAGGCAGCTTGTCTGCAAAAGGCAAGTGGTTTCCTAAAAACCAAACTACTGAAAACCTGCCCCGGCTGCTCAGCCCCTTCCCCCAGGACCCTCCAACGGGGGACACAGTGTGGCAGCAGGGGCTGGGAGGGCAGCTCGGGGACAGCCGCTCCCTCTGGACCGTGCCACGGCCATGGCAGGGTCCAGAGAGGTCCGGCTGTGACTTGTGGATGCTCCCTGAGGAGGATGCAGGAGCTCAGGTGCTCTCTGCCCTCTGCCTGGGGGTTCCGTGGGCAGTCAGTGCCTGGGGCCGGTGTCCACAGTGCCCGGGCAGCTGCTGGTGCGTTGGCTTGTCCTGCCCCAAGAGACCTCGATGTTCTGTGACTGTCCCAGCTCAGGCTCCCCTCCGAGGGAGCTGCTGCTCAATTGCTCTCTACCAGCTTGGCCAGTCCCTGCCGGATCTCACTGAGCTCGAATATCTTCACATCCATGATCTCTGCCACCTTGGTGACCTCGGTCTGGATCTTCTCCCTCTCGGCCAGGGCCTCGGCCAGGGTCTGCTCAGCCAGGTGAAGGCGCTGCTCCAGCTCTGCGTTGCGGCTCTCCAGCTCCTGCCCGGGGACACGAGTGCAGTGAGGTGCTGATACACGCTGCTCACACCCCCCTCCCCTTATCTGCATCAAACAGCTGTGCTGTCACCCCAGCACCAGGCTTCCCACACCCAGAAGCTTGGGGTCCCCCCGGTTCCTCACCAAGGGATCTCCTGTCCTGGGCCACAGCGCTTGGCAGGCACATGCATGCAAGCACGTGTTCCCCAACCCAGGCACGTGCCCGCAGCTGGCAAAGCAGATCTCACATGCCTGTCACCTCCAGGGCTGAGGGCATTTGATGTCTGGAGACACTATTCTGCCATGAAAACCAGTGCCTGTGTAAGGGGCTGGGCCCTGCAGCTCATCCCCTCGGTCAGCAGCTCAGAGGTGAACACAGCCAGGCAGTGTCCCCAGAGACCACACAACAGATCGGGCTTCCATCTGTGTCCTTGGCCCTGAGGTGCAGAGCAGCTTGCATCCCTCCTGCCAGCCAGACTGAGCCAGAGCTCTGCTCCCCAGCCATCCCTGGCCAGCCAGCAAGCTAAGCAGGACTTCAGAGAGATGGAGGGTCACAGGACATCACAGATTCTGCTCCAGTCCCATGCCAGGGACTGCTGCAAGAGCTAAAAGGAGAGTAGGTGAAGGCTGGGTTTGCTATTGCCTGCTCATTGTGCCCCATGTCATACCTCTGAGGGACACAGAGAGCGTGGAAGAAGGCAGAGACACTGGCAAGGACCCAGTGCCAGCATCCAGAGGCAGACCATAGGCACAGCAGCTCTACGGCATTCACACTTTGGCTCAGCAGAGAAATGGGGACAGATCACTCTGCCACGCGTGCAGAGGTGTCCCAGATCTGCCATCCTACCTGCAGCTTCTGCAGTGTCTCCTCACGCTCGCCCTCTGTTTCCCATCGGCCACACTTCTGGCTCTTTAGCATCTGGATCTCCTAAACCACAAGGAAGAGCTGTCAGATCCCTCCCAATCCCAGTGGGGGCAGCTCCCAGCACTTACCCCAGCCAGGTCCCTTCCCTCCCTCCCCTCTCATTCAAGCTGTAATGACAAACAGGGTGCTGGTGACTGATGAGCCTCCCAGCTTCAGGCTTTGCCCTGCTTGGTGGGGCATTACCTCATCTTTCGCCTTGATCAGTAGTTCCAGCTCCTCCAGGGTTTGGCTCAGCTCTTCCTTGTTGTTCTCACTGGAGGAATCCTGAGTGCCCTGTGACTCCAGTTCTGCTACCTACACAGAAGCAGGCACAGGGGAAGCATCTCAGAGATACAGGAATGTCCCGACACCTCCTCACCCTCAGTCACCCTCTGTCATGGTCTGGCTTCCTTGCAGACCCAACCAGGTTACAACAGGGCAGCAGCTCCCACCCTGGGGAGGAAAAACCTCTCTTCCTCTGCTCTGCCCAGATCACACAGAGAAAACCTCTGTGGCAAAGCCCAGTCCAGAGACCCCGCTTTCCCCTGCAGCTCTGCACTTCCAGCAACGTTGAGCTGGCTGACATCAAGCACAGGAGCCTCCAGTCCAAAGTGACGGCTACACCATTTACATCCCTGGGCAGAGCTTGCCAAGGCAAGGGAGCTGCTGCAGCTCAACCCAGCAGAGCTGGGAGGAAGGATTTGCCCCATTCCTGAAAAGTTCAGCCCAGCAGCTGGGATGATTCGGGAAGAGGATTCATGTTTAAAACGCACACACACACACACACACAACCAAGGGCTCTGCTGCACCTCAGGCAGGGCCCTGCTGCAGAGCACAACGTTTGCTGTGTGCAGCTCTTCCACTGTGTGACTCCAGCACTGAGGACCACCGGTGGGCACAGTGAATCCCCACAGTGGGGGACGCTGTTTCCTGGGGACTGGTCACACTACAGCCATCGAGTGGAAACAGCTCCCAAAACCCCAACTGCTCTAAACCCCTTTCCCAAGTTCTCCATGGTTTTTCCCAACAAACCCAGCCGTGTGACTGTCACTGCTCTGCCCAGATGCACACAGGCCTCCTCAGTTGATCTGGGACCTCTCTGACATTATGTAGGTCAAAAGATCCTATTATTCCAACCCAACAAGGGCTTGTTTGTACTGCACCACCCGAGTTTCATGATGTTGCAGCTTGGATGTAAGCTAATTATAGCAGACTGAGGAACCTTCATCCTTCCTGTCAAAAACCAGAAGATTGTGCTGATGCCCAGCTAAGGGGGGCTTGGGCCTCCCTCAGCATTGCTGGCAGCTGGGAACCACCCCCTGGAAACGGGAAGGAAAACTGGTCTGCTTTGACTTTGTGCCCCGGTTTCCTCCTCCTAATCATGGGGACACAGCACAATCCCAACTTGCTCTGCAGAAAACAGGAGCTCTTGTGAGAGTTCCCTAGTTACGTGGCCTTATTCCTTGACATGTTTTCCCTGCCAGGCTCATGCAGCATCCTGGATTTCCATCCCATCTCCTGCTGACACCCGTGGAAACTGAAGAGAGAATGGGGTCAAGGGCACCATCTGGCTCTGGGAAGGGGCTTCCTCTGACCTGCTCTGCGAAGCCCCTCCGGTGCTCACCCGCTGCCGCAGCGTTTCCGTCTCCTCCTGGTAAGCGGCCAACTGCTTCTTCCACTGGTCCACGTTGGCGTTGGCTTCGTGGAGAGCAGCCACGAGCTTGTTGTTGTTGTCCTGGAGGCTGAAGAACTCGGCCTCCCACTGGACCTCACTCACAGAACTGTGTGAGAGAACAGGGCAAGTGTTCAGGAGAGCATAGGAGAGTCTCAGCATGAAGGGTTCTTCCCCCCGTGCTCACGTGCACTGAAACAAAGCTCCTGGACGTGCAGGGCAGCTCCTGGCTCCTCCAGAGTTTTCTATTCAGTTTTCGTGTCACTTCCCAAATGTAAATGCTTCTTCCAGCCCTGAATGTGCATCTCTTTACCCCTGGATAATATTTGTATTTGAGGCCCTGTGTGCTGGCTGCAAACTGCAGAATCCACACTGTGAGACTGACGGGAAGGGGGGTACAGCTACTATAAAGGAGCTTCATAACGTGGGACTGTCAATCTGGGATTTAAATCCTTGTCACATCTGAGTTGGCTCTGACTAAAGCCCTCCCAGCCCAGGCTCGGGAGAAGGTAGCAAAGAACACTTGCTTTTGATTTAAAAATACTCTGAGTGTTCAGCTGGGAGCTAAAGGGGAGCCACAGAGCAGAATCCAGCCAGAGTCTTTGAAGAGACAAAGCGCGGAAGCAGCGGAGACTTTGCTGGTATCATCAGGGGAATTAACACAACTGCAGCCCTGGGCCAGCTGGAAAAGCGTGAGCATCTTCTGGTTATCACAAACTACTGATCTGAACTAACTGGCACCAACTCAGCCCTGCTGCAGGCACAAAGCACTCTTCCCACGCTGCCTGAACAGCGCATTTCACCTCCACCTGGAGTAACTTCCTACTGGAGAAGAGGGGAAATTGGTACAGCGGAGGGTTAGAGCAGCAGCGGACACAGGGCATTATCCAGCTACCTGAAGCAGCAGCACTGGTTCAAAAGCATTTGGGATGCCAGGGACATGCACCAAATCCTGCCAGAGCAGACAGTTCAGGAGTGAGGAGCAGAGAGCACGTGCAGCAGCCTCACCCTTCGGAGAGCATCTTCTTCAGCCGCTCCTTCTCCGTTGTTACCTCCACATCGGCACTTTGGCTTCGGAATAGTTTATCTTCTCCTGGCCCATTGGAGCTGATGATGGGGCTGGGAAGTACCTGGGGATGAAGACGAGTGGTGACCACACAGCAGTGAGAGCCACAAGGTCTCTGCAAACTCACTCCCAGCCCAGGTTCACAGGGCTGGCTCTGAGCCCCTGCGCTCCTGTGAGGAGCACTGGCTTTCAGTCCTAACTCTCAGGTAGTGCTGTGCTTGCCTGCATGACAAGGGGTGGCAAAGATCCTCAGCGGGCACAGCAACGTGGGCACTCTCTTGGATAGGGAGGTCAGTGCTCTGCTCCCCCAGCACTGCGGGGGCAGTGACCCCAGTGCACAGACACGCTGAGCAGGAGGGCTCACAGCCTGCAGGCACCAGCTCTTCCTCCTCCCAACCTGAGCAACTGAACTCCCTGGCCCCCAGCTTCCCCTTGGCAATGCCAGGGTGTCACCGGCTGGAACCCAGCCCCGTGGCCCTGCTCCCTGTCCCGGGGCTTGGCTGAATCCTTAAGAGGATTTCTTTGGTGGTTCTCAGAGCAGTGGAAAGACTGAAACTAAACACAGAGCTGCCAGACCCGGGTTCAGTCAAGCCCAGCTTCTGGACCTTGAGTTAAGACCCCAGGTGCCATTGGGAATGTGTGTTCCAGGCTCAAGGGAAGGAAACTGCTATTGCTCAGGTGACTGTGGCACCCGTTTTCCAAAGGTGTGGGAGAAGAAACTCACAGCCCCTGCACCAAAGTATCTCCTTGTCTACGGCTCCAGATTCCTGCATACATCAGAGCCAGCAGAGACAACCAACCGACAGCAGAGCAGAGATGAACATGCAGAAGCCAAAGCAGACTTCATAGCCTCCAGCCCCTCCAGAAGACCCTTCCTACATGATCTCCTCTCGCAGCAGGGAAGCAGCTTGGCACTGACAGGGCAAACTGAGCTATAAAAAGACTCTGAGCAACGAGTCTCTGGGCTCCTAAGCAGGGAGCTGAGAGCCCAGGCTACTGCTGGAGTTCATAGGTAGCCCCCAAATGCCTGCAGGAGGGACAGGCACCTGCTTTGGAGTCAGCTGACACCTATAAATAGAGCCAGGCATGGCCATGATGTATTAAACACCAGCTTCATGAAGCCTTCCAGAGAGTGACCGAGATGTGAGACCTGCAGAACACAGCCCTGCCACACCTTTGCACAAGGTGGGGAAACTGAGGCAGGGAAGGGGCAGAAGTTTCCTTTTCTTGTGTGTTGAACCCCTGTGAGTCCAGCTGAAGATGCTGCACGCTGTTTTGTTGCTTACATTACCCACAGTGACATACTCTGCGCTGCGGATGCTAAATGGGATGGGGATTGGCCTAGAAGCTACAAGAGGACAGAAGAGAGCTTCTATCCTGGATTTGCCCAGCGCTGAAAATCTAAAGCCTGAGTAAAGTAGTGCGGATGCAGAAAAGGAGGAAGCCCTGATTTAATTTCAGGAGACAGAGCTGCTCCCTGCTCGCTTGCAAACAGAAACACAATCAATTATTCAAGGATGAAACTCAGATTTGAAGCTCTACTAATGCACAGACTGGGAATCAGTGGGACAGCTGGAGAAGGGGCGAGGGGCCGATTTACGTACAGGCTGGAGAAAGCAGGAACTGCAGGACAAGACCTGCCTGCTCCCACGGCAGGGGACACTGCATGTGCCACTGGCTCAGCATGCTGGCCACTGAGACACGAGACGGGCTGAACGGGAAGAGTGAGGTGAAGGTCACCTTCACCCTCTGACCTCCTCATCCCTTCTGCTGCTCTACTCTACTCCCTTTGCCATTTGCCACCCATTAGGATGGGGCTTTGAGTTACAGGAGCCAAACGCTGGGAATACTTTCCCCATTTTTGCCCCCCACATGACATTTCCAGTCTCTGCAGAGCCACCACCTCCACTTCCCCCTCCCTTCCCTGCAGGCCAAGGTACTGTTCACACTCCCTCCTCCTCCTCTGCTGCTGCTCCATCTGTATTCAACCCAGAGAACACAATGTCCTCCAACCTACAGCTCCTCTCCTACTGCCAGGAGTGCTGGGAAATGCAGAATCACCTCTGGAGGGAACTATTTGGGAGTTGCTTTAACACGGGAAAAGGCAGTACAGAGCTCCCCACAGCCTATCCACTCACTCCATCCCACTGCTGCTGCTGGTTTAGCTACACAGGCAGAAAGGTAACAAGTGCAAGAGCAATGCATGTGAAAACCATCTGTGATGGGCTTAAGCTTTCTGGCTTGGTCTCCTGGGGAAAAGAACCTGGAATGAGTGGCTGTCAGACAGCAGTGCTACCTTAGGGGAGAGCTCCCAAGAGGAGCGTGACTCCTGCTCTCACAGCACAGCTTCTCCTCCGCAGTGGAAACAGAGAGAGAAGCCTGGCCAGCAGCCCTCAGTCACCAGCAATAAGAAATCACTTTGTCTTTCACGGACCCCCACGGGCAGCCCCATCTCCTGTCAGAGACACTCGGAGGAGAACCCCCTGCAGCCCCAGAAGGATGGATGGAAGTGGCACGTGTCTTCCTTGCTGTGATCTTCAAGCAGGCAACGGGCACTCCTGCATGTCGCTTGCCTGTTGCTGTCACCCTGAGCCCCGGGAGAGCCAGCAGCTCCAAATCAAATAAAAGAGAAAGAACCACACCAAGACCCACCAAAGGGAGAACTCCCAGCAGCACAGCAGGAACCCCCCCACCCCAGCATGGCCTCAGTAGACATCAAATGGTTTCCACAGTTGAACTACCAAAGAGGGAGGGGGGGGAACCTTCCCAGGAGCTCCGTTTAAGCACTCATTTGTTAATGTGCTTCCTGAGCTCCAGCAGTGACCTCAGGGCCACAGGAGCCATCACAGTGTGAAGCTCCACCCTCAGTGTATGGCAAGGAAGCTCTCAGAAAGGGGTGGAAGGCAGAAGGAGCACAGCGGCCGTTTCCCCTGGCTGCCACCACTCAGCATTACCTGGTGAGATGTGATGCTCAGGGCAGGGTTGGTCAGCTCTGTTTTATCCTGGGATTTCTCCCTCGCCAAACGAGCTGCTTCCTTCACTTCCTGGAACTTCTCTGCAAACTAGAGGGGAGCAGAAGAGTCACTCCAGTGCTCTGCCAACATGTGGAACTTAGCAGAACTGAGGCCTGGGTCCTCCTCCCTTTGCAGCTCCATCCAACATGCTTTTACACCTCTTTTCAACTAACAATACAACTCAGTGAATAGCCCCTTCCTGGCCATGGTTCTGGCACTCAGTGGGCTCAGCTAAACAGCAGTGACAGAAATTGAGCCTCAAATCCTAATTTGATTTTGTGATGTTTAAAAGCACTCCGCAAATTTTACTTTAAAGCTCTTCCCACTGTGCTAAAAGCTGATGGGAGGCGCAAAGATGCTAGGAACAGCATTACATCAGGTTCCTAAAGCCTGCTCTCCAGAGGCTTATCTCCCCTTCAGGGTTTCAGGGACATTCCCCTGGTGGCATCAGCTTCCTGCAGCACCTGCAGCATTACCTGGGAGAGATGCTGCTCGGAAGCAAAGCCCAACCCGTACACGGTGTTGGCTCGGCTGTCTGCCCACTGCCCAAACTTCTGGGATGTCTTCGTGAAGGTCATGTTGGGGGTGATGGTGCTGTTGATGATTGCCTGGAGAGAGAAGCAACAATGGGAGTCAGAGAAAACTCCAGCCTGCTGGGCTGAGGTGGTGGGGTGGGACTCATCACTGTCGTCCCTGTGTGCTCTAGGAACTACAGGGAGAAAGCTCTGGCTTTTAATCTATAAAACAACAGTTCGGGCTTTTGGTGACCAAAAGTCTTCCTCGTCTGGCTACGTGACATGGACAAACCTCAGCCATCTCATCTAGAGGAAGGAAAAACAAGTCTCAGTGGCATCACCTTCCTCCATTGCTGGAAAAGAAGACGAGAGACAGGGTGTCCCTGGGGACTCAACAACTCGCTGCTGTTCTCCATTTGCATGGCAAGGAGAACAAAAGGCTTCCACAGCAGTCAGGCCTGGCTGTTAGGGAACACTGCTGCTTAGGGGAGCACCAAAGTAATTGTCTGGGCAGATTGCTGAGACTCTGCCATTGCAGGTCTGCAGGAGGAAGTCAGGAGAATGCCTGTCAAGACCAGTTTATGGAGAGTCACTCGTGTGCTGTGGAAGTGACTGCACAGACGCCGCCTGGGGTGCCCTCAACCTCAGTCTGCCACTTCATTGTTTTTAAAGGGGTTGGCTTTAGCACATGATAAAGGGTCTCACAAAAAGCTTGTGCTTTGCACGTGCCAGGGGTGAGAAGAGACTGGAACGGGGAGAGGCAACACCAGACCCATCAGCAGAGATTCCAGTGTCTAACACTAAATACACTTGAGCATGGCAGCAGTGTTTCACCTTCCATTCCCTGCAGTGGAGATCCTCAAGGGCCTACGCTGAGAACTGACCAACGTGACAGCACACCACCACCAGACCAGGCTGGAGAAGAGCCTGCTGTGCTGCTGCCCCCACCTTGGTGCCCCCCACGCTGATGATCCGGTACACGTTGCGGGTGGCATCGTAGAAGTAGGAGACAGTGAGAGCGTGTTTGCTGGCGGGGATCCAGTTCCGTTTGGTAGCAGGATCAATCTGGAAGACGTGGGCCCTGGTGCTGAAGATTGGCTGCTCCCTATAAGAGAAACGAACAGGGCTGTTAGGGCACAGGGAGCTGAGCAACAGGGAAAGAGCATCCACTTCCTGGCACTGGAGCTGAATGAGGCACCACCAGCAGCACTTCTGCTCCCCACCTTCTCTGAGGCGGTGGGTGCGAGGCAGGGCAGCCCCCAAGGACACAGCATCTCTCCCCCAGCAGCCCTTCACAGGTAGCAGCAGCTCCCCCCAGTCTGGGCTGGTACCACCTGGTGCCTCTCCCTGCCAGGGGAGTCATGCCCAAGTCCTCCAGCATTCCTGTGAGTTGCTTTTCCAAGATCTCTGGGCTTCTCTGTGCCCTGCCCAGGAGCTCTCCACATCCTGGGCACCCTTCCAAAGCCCAGTTTAGAAGCTGGGGGACTGCTGGATGATGCCCCTGCAAAGTAAAAGCCAATGGCTGTTTATGCCCCCATTTGACCACCACTCAGACAGCACGATGACAGCAGCTTTCGCTGCACACAACTGACCTTGGGCTATAAAGACACCCTTGGCACAATAACAAAGCTACCAAGGGTGTTTAACTATAGGTACAGGTTTTTACCTTCCTCTAGAGATTCTCTGTCCTCCTCTGCAGTCTTCAGCCATTTCCAAAGGCCAAAAGGCTGGTTATTTCAGCAACAACAGGTTATGCCCTCAGGTTAGCAGATCATATATGCATGTTCACCCAAGGACAGGCAAGAAACTTGGCAGCAGAAGCACAAACAGGACATCACAACCTCATGTTTGCAGTATACCTGACAGCCCTTCACAACACAGCCAGTGTGGCAGAGTCAGGCTTAGGGGCTACAGTCTTTTTAGCCCACCCTGAAGCTTTCTTGCACCATCCCTCAGCACCTTAGCGGGCAGTTCATGGCAACTGCACCAGGTACAGGATTCCCTGGCTGCTGTAGTATTTGTACTTCGTATATCCAAGCTGGCACTCTAGGGAAATGGGATGGAGGGATGGAGGGACGGAGGGACGGAGGGACGGAGGGACGGAGGGACGGAGGGACGGAGGGACGGAGGGACGGGTCTAGGATGTGAGCACAAGCAGTGTTTCCCCTCAGCGCAGCTCTTCCTCCCTTGACTCATGCTTGGGAAGCGCATCCTGCAGCGAGAGGTCACACTGCAGGGCTCAAAGCAAGTCACTTCACAATGAATGAAAGGAAACTCTTCACCACACGACGTGCAGCTGCTGCAGGAAAGCTCTGAACCAAGCACTGCCTGGGCTCTGTAAGCAGTAAGATCCGAGCTGAACTACGGAGTTGAACCTGAGGCATCAGGATGTAACTCGAGCGTTTCAGGAGCAGGCAGGAATGTCCCCATGACACCATCAGGTGCACTGGGGTCTGTGCTTGGCTTTGGTTAAACCCAAAGCACTGGCCATTACCCAAACCCAGTGAAATGTGTTGTGACTGGGAACACCCCCCCATGGCAGCTGCACACAGGGCACAGGCACAACCCTGCTCTGTGCAAGCTCCCCACATCCACACACTTGTGTTTCCTGCCCGTTCCACGTCCTCACAGCTGCCACGAGCAGCCTTTCCTGTCAATCCACAGACAAATGTACCTGGTGCTCTCTGCACACATCCCAAAGCTGAGGAAGGAAATCAAATCCTCCCTGCTAGCTCCCAGTTTCACGCCTTGGTTCCCAGGTTACAGCCCTGACTCAGATCTCCTATGACTGCAGGAGGGTCTAAACCAGCCTCTCTTCGCACCTTCCCTGCTTGGTTTTACTCAGCTCCTGTCTGGTTTTGGAATGAGGTTCCTGTTTTCCAGGCTCCAGTGACAGACACGACATTTCACATGGATCACAACTTACCCTTTGAGGCACAGCAGCTACAGAGCAGGGAAAAACTAATGCTTCTGCCCCGTAACCCCCAAATCCCAGCTAGTGTTGGAGAGAACAGAGGAAGGACATTACCTAGTTGGTGACATTTGTTAGGAAGGGTAAGACTAGAGGCCAATGGAGTCAGGATGTGTCTCCTCCGGCAGCTCCCTCCTCAGGTCTCCTAGCTGGAGTGAGGCTCCCTCCTGGTTTTGCCTGCCCAGGGATCCCTTTCAGCTGTTGTTCGCCACACAGAGCACAGGGCGTTCAAGCAGGCACCGTTCAGGGGCTCCCTTTGGCCCAAGCTTGGACTTTGCACTGATTTCTCACCGCTGAACAAGTTTTCTTCCCCGTCCTGGGGGATCAGCGGCTGAGCCGTGCAACCGGAGTAAATCCGCTTGGCAGCAGGCGCTGGCTGTTGGGAGAGGGCCACAGAGGAGCCTGGAAGGCTCTCGTGTTTCCAGTCATGCGCACGTGATGCGGCTGCATGATGGAAACCCCTCCTCAGAGATCAGCCCTGGCCCGCACGGAGCTATTCCTGTGCTCAGCCTGCACCCGGCACCAGTGGAAACCCTCCTGCTGACTGCAGCTCTCTGCAGACCAAGTGATGCCCCACGCAGCCCCCGCCATGCACCCCGAGCGCTGACACTCCCGGCCTCAGCCTCCGCTGCCCGCAGGGATGGGGTCTGCAGCCACACGGGGGATCCCCACCAGCTCTGCTCCCTGCCCTGCGCTCCACAGAGCCGGGCATGGTCCCAGCCCGCAGCACGGGTGAGCCCCTGTGGCTGCCCTGTGCTGTCTGCCCGTGCCACGCGAGAGCTGTGCCATCATTTGCTTTGTAAATGAGGCTCTGCCTCATGGTCCTCACCCTGCTCTCTCCCAAGTCAGCTGAGACCGGGAGTCTCAAACAGGGTAAGAAGTGAATGTGCACGATGAAAGGTGCCTGTCGAAGGGATAGAGCCCAGATGTCCAGCCTCTTCGGCAGGTCTGCCTCCAAGCAGGTCAGCTGAGAGTACCTCAATACATGGAAACCCCACTGATGACCCCAAGCCAGGAGAGGCTCAGGAGGCCACCCCCCACAAAAGCCAGCGTTACTTTCCTTCTGAGCACCAGGAGTGGAAAGCAAACTGCCGCTGGAAGCCCTGTCAGAGAGGAGAAAAGCCTTCACAGGGTTAGCTTACGCTGCTTCTACTCCCATGAAGCCAACTTGGCTGCTCTCCTGCCAGCACACAGCCCCTGGGCATGCACGTTCTTTTCCTGGTCTCAGGAACACCGCGGGATGCCCCTCTGATGGCGCTGATGGGAAGGGTGCTCTGCTTCTCCTGCCTTCACATCACCACTGTGCCTCGACACTCCTCACGCCTCTGTTTGTCCCTTATGGTGCTCCCAGGAGCAGAACCACTTCCCGCTGGCTCTGCCAGGTCCATCCCTTCCCGTTACAAGCACCCAAGCCTCGCAGGCTCTCCCACGGGCCTGCTGCCAGCTGCACCAGATGTGCAGTGCTCCAACAGAGAGCAACCCGGCGCTCCCAGAGCCAGGGCTTAGCAGCAGCTTCACCTGCCTGTGCCAGGGAGGGAATCCCGCAGCCGCCTCCCTCCCAGGGAAGCGGAACACGTGGAACCTCCTGCAACCATTGCTCCCGTTTCCCTTCTCCTCACTGCAGCTGGAATTGCTGCTGCCAGCCTGCCTGTCCCTCCTAATGGTGACTGCTTTACGTAGCCTCCTCACAGCTACCGGAGCTCCGCGCCAGCCTTCCCTTCTAGGAAGCAGTGGCTGAAGCTCTGCAGGTAATGCCCAGGAGAGCTTTGTGCTGTGCTTGGGAACACCACAGAGGTGTTGATGTTCCTTTTGCAGTGCTTGTGCAGGGGGGAAAGACTTTCTTTGTTTTAAATCCATCAAATGGTACAAGCTGTATCCGGCAAGCACAAGAATGCCATTGTGGAGGACACTGGCCAGCCTGGAAACCTGCCTCTCAGTGCTCACTGGTCTGACAAGGTTAAAGCAAAGCTGTAAGACAAAAGCTCTCCTGTGTTGTGTTGGAGCACAACAAAAACCAGAGAGAAAGAGCAGGCAGCAATGCAAGGTGTGCAGATCCAGAGGCCCATCTCTGAGAAGTCACTCACGGTTATTAAATGGAAAATGCCTCCTCCAGCAGCAGGGGTTGACAGAGCCCAGGAGCCGCTCAGCAAGGGGGAATGCAGGCAGGACCGCAGGGCACTGCTGGACATGCAGGGAAAGCTCAGGTACTGCCAGCCAGGGTGAAGATGCATGGGCAGAACCACGGCTGAGCTTGTTTCAGGCCAAGCTGCTGACCTCTTGTTCCCACAACCACTACAAAGCATATAAAAATAGCCCTGAAAGGGCCCAGGGCTCAGGCTGTTGTGCTCCCTTTCCCCCTGTGTTGTGAGTGTATACGCTGGATACACCACACATCCCTAAATGCCACCACTTCATGCCCTGCTCCCAGCCGGGAGTCCCCATGACCATACCGACATCGTAGTGAAAAGGGCACGTGTAAATGAAGCCACTCACATCCCCCAGGGCTGCCCTTGGCAGAGAACTGAGAAAAACCAAAGCAAATAACTGAAAGGACAAAGATCTGGCTGAGAGACAGACGTGTTCAGCAAGTGCCTGCTGGCAACTGGAAAGGATCCAGGTCCCATCGCTGCCAGCATCTGCTCCAGCCCAAGAGGGAAAGGCAACGTTCGATATCCCATGGCTCACTGATGGTTTAAAAATGACCTGTCCCCAGTGAATGTCCCTATGCCAGCTACCAGCAGAACCAAGCAGCTAAAACTGAAAAGCAGAGATGATCTAACCAGTCTGATGTGTTCTTCAAGGCAGCAAGGCACCTGGCTGCAGGATGCTGCCTCAGTAAAGGCCCACATGTCTCCTCTTGTGGCTTTTCCTGACAGAGAAGCTGGGAGAAGGTCACAGTGTGCTTGGGGAGGACACATGAACACAGGGTATGGATCAGTCATTTCCCATTTGCTCTCTCTGAAGTCTCTGCTCAGTGGTCATTAAGACAGCGTGTAAAACTGCATGCTGGTCTCAGTCCCATCTTGGTTCTTGTATTATTTCCCTCTCTACAGCATCCAAATGGATTTCTTAATAAATAGCTGCTTATTTCCCCCTTGCCAGGAAAGCAAATCATTGCTTGTCCTCTTAATGGATGGTCTCAGCAGAGTAGCATGGAACTGAGCAGTCCAAAGGGACTGAGTTCACCAAGGCTGGAGGAGGAACCCCATCAGGTTAGGACACACAGAGACCCTGCCAAGACCCTGGAGGAGAAGCACACCCTGCAAGCACTGCCCTGTGCCAAGGAGCTACAGATGGCATCAATTCAGCCCTGCACCAGCACCACATTTTACCTGGCAGGGGAACAGCAGGCATAAAAGTGCCAAGGTCTGGAGAAGACCAAATCCAGCACTGCCCCCTCTGTGCTGTGTAATCTGAACACATATGTCGCTGGAGGCATGGACTGTCCTTGAGTGCCCTGTTGGGATGTGGGCTCTGCCCTCCTCTTTACAGGCACATGGGCCTCTTCCTAAGTGGGATCTTCCAAATGAACCCCTTGCTGCTCATGCAACGGGGAGAATGCAGCAGGAAGGGAGAGGAGCCACCACCCAGAGAGGCTCTGCACATCTGCAGTTTAGGAGACAGCACCAGCATCGTCCCATGACACACCTGGATTGTCTGGATCAGTACATACACAGGTACATGCACAGGTACATGCACAGGTATATGCATAGGTACATACACAGGTACATGCACACAGGTACATACACAGCCCAGCTCGCCTGCGGTGCTGCAGAGCCCGTCCTGCACACACATACATCAACACACTGAGCAAACCCCCTTCAGTCCCGCTGCTGGGGATGTCTTTAACAGGAGGATTTCAGAGAGTCCCCCTCTAATCCTCACCAGAAACATACTCTCAAGCCTGCAAACAGGTCTAAGAGCAGGACAGGGTAAAGGGGTTTTCGGCTGAAGCAAAGGCAGAGCTGGGAATGGTGTTCCCACTGCACGCTCCAGCCTCCTGCCACAGTCCTCCAGAGAAATGCATCCTGCTGTAAGGAATAGCACAGGATAGAGGAAGGGACAGTCTTTGAAAGAGCTGTCAGCAAAGCATTTCTCTCTCTGTCTAAACTAGCACCATGGCAGCTCCAGTCTGTTTCACTGCAGGCTCGCTCCTTGACCCACCCCAAGGCAGCTGCCCGTTGGGGTCTTTACACCCCAGAGAAACTGTTCTACTGCTCTTCCTTTCCCAGGGTATCTCCAATGCAAATAGCATCTCTTGGGGAAAACCCTGTTTGACAGTTCCAGGTTCACTCTCTCTCCAGCAGGCTCCTAAACCTAAGGGCAACTGCTAAACCCCAGCCCTGCTGCCAGAGCTCCGCAACAGCGAGAGGAAGAAACCAGGGGTTTAGTGTTTGCCCCCAGCGATGGCTTCTACACCAGGTGTGGGGAGGGGGCTCTTTCTGGCTGCACATTTGCTTTGTCCTTGTTCTCAGGTCTTCTGTGAAATGCAGATTTTTCCCACTGATATCCTCCTATTTCTTTTGTTCTCACGATCCTGCCTGCGAGATGCCCCTTTCGTTACCCAAATTCCTTACCACATCCTGCTCTCTTGCCCCCACCCTTTGCTGCAGGACCAGGGAGAGGAAACCCATTTGCTGTGGAGAGGGAAGCTTTTAGAGTGACCATTCCCCAAACTGGTATTAATGTTGCTGTCCTGTTTTAAGTTCCTAAGCACAGCGAGTGACAAAAGAGCAGGATTCAAACCTAGACACAAGTGTAAGAGAGAGATTTGGTGGCTGAGTTCAAGGCACCCCAGGAACACAAAGAGTGAATAGGTCTGAGGTTTAGAATAAAGTCTTTGAGTCACTGCAGGCAGCAGCTGGAATGTGCTGGGGAGGCTGAGCTCGGTCTGCATGTGCCTCTGTGCTCCTGAATGGGGTTCAGGCAATGGCATCCCTGGGAAGTCCATGTGCTGCTCCCCAGCCTGCACCTCCTCACTCACTGCAGCTTCTCATTGCAGAGATATTCATTTACTTGTCAGAGCAAGGAGCCTCTGTGCACTTGGATGCAGAGAGGACAATCACTCCAAACACTGTGCTCTGCACACAGGCAGTGCGTGCTCCCCCTTCATCTACAAACCAAGCCCACAAGGTCCTGCAAGAAATCAGACCAGAATCAAAGCACAGGAATCATTTGGTTCTGTGGCTCACGGGCAGAACAGTTCTGAGCCCCCCGGGCAGGGAAGGGCTTCGGGATGCGATGCTCCCGCTGACAGCAGGACCTGCACACACCTAGGAATGTAT